GGTCAGTGAGCTGCAGGCGCATGCAGCATCTTGGGGGAGGGGGGGGGTTGATCCAGGACGCTGCCGGGGATGTCCATGCAAGAGGAGAAACAACTGTCAACCACCTGTGGCTTCATCGCCTCACTACTCGTCGGAAAAGTCAGACAAAACGAGAGTTGCAGAGCCGACGGCGCTGGAATCGACGGCTTCATGCCAGTGGGGTTTCTGCCGTTTCCTGATGCCAGGCGCATGGGTCACGCAGCATGTCGGTGGACATTTGCGTGGCATGGGAGTGACGACGGACGGGCCTGTGAGCAGCGAGTGCCATCGTGGTCGTGTTGCCATTGACATTGCGGAAATCTCTCTGGCAGGTTTGACCCCTTGTCAGCCCCTGGTCGGCGGTCCTCATATCCCAACAAGCGGGATGAGTCCGTCGCACAGGCGGTGTAGGACGGCCGAGGAGGCTACTGCGGGAGCGACGCACCGCGGCTGCACAGAGGCGTAGTGGCCATGGCAGGCGACGAAGGGAGGTGAGAGTGTCCTGCTGCAGGCGCTGTTGTACAGAGCGCGCGCTGCTTAGGGGTGGCGGTCGATGGCAGTCGCTGGTGGTGACAGCAGCTCAGCAGCCTGTCTCTCCGGCCCAGCCCCAGAACGAGGCGATGTCCCCCTTCGTTGTCTTGGTCGGTTCCAGCAACTGAGTCAAGCATCGGAGAGGGGTCAAGATCGACAGCTTCAACGTTGCATAGACGCGACGGTCAATGACGACAAATTTCCATGCTGGGCAGGTCAGGCTGGTCCGCACTCAATGCCATTCTTTTCTTGCCATTCGTCCACAAGTGCAGTTACAATCCAAGCCAAGCAGCGTGACGTGGTTTCCAAGTGGACTCGTCTGTGTGTCGTGAGCTGGCTTTGCTTTTCACCATGGCCAAAGGATTGTCTGAGGAGTGGGCGCGAAGCCAAGGGTTGGATTTGGGGAAAGCAATCGGGTCCTCTCCCTGCGCTGTGCAGTGGCCCCTCGGTTCGTCCCCTGTAGGCAGACAGAAATGGCACCTGTCTCCACGGAGCGCGCGGAGCGGAGCAGAGGAAGGCGGCCGTCGAGGAGCAAGCGGCAGACGGCCAGGTCTGACAGATCCAGGAGCCAGGGCGATTGGCGACGAGTAACGCACAAGGGTGGCCACGACAGCTGACTGGTTGCCTCACATTCAGTTGACCACTCATCTTTGGCGACAGACCCAGCCATCAAACAAATTCGAGGCTGCATGCTCGACTGGTAAGAATCGGCCTCAAAGACAATCGGAGCACGAGCCGTGACGGTGACAATATTGGCTCTGGTGCCGTGTCCAGTAAGCCGTGCAGCCATCCATCCACCCAAGCATCCTATTCTCATCCATCGTCAATGCGTGCTGAATGCAGACGAGGTCACGATATTCGGACGTTGCAGTCGAGGCGAGGTCGTGTGGCCATTCCTGATCGGAACTGTCGCGTAGCCGCTGGCTATCAAGCCGCATGCTGCACTGCACTGCACTGCGCTGTGCTGCAGTTGACAGCTGCGGCCTTCAATCGCTTCTATGACACTATCGTCGAAACGTTCGCGGCGCCCTGTCGTCGTCGTTTTGTGGCGGGGTTTGCCAATGGCAACGTCGATCACGCCCGTTTCGATTTCTATGCATCGATCCCATCCATGCCCCGTGCGACGCCGAGGTGGGATCTTGCCTGCTCACCAGGCCGATCCGATCCAGCGTTAGGCTCCAAAAGTCCCGCGACGGTATACAACGCGGCGAGCATCCTGGCCTGACCGCGCAGTGTCCTCCTGACGTGCTTCTGCTGTCGACAGCCTCTGGCCCCCGAACCAAAAAGGGGATCCGCCCTGCTCAAGGTCTGGAGTACTGGAGTAGCCTCGATGTCTCGGAGGTCGGTGATTCGCAGCCATCGGGCAACGTGAGGGATTTCACTAATCATTGTGTAGTGATGCAGCCGTTCGGAGCGGGAGGAGGTTCGCCTCGAAAAAGATTGACGGGGCAACGAAACGGAGATGGGTGATCCAGGGTCCATCAAGCTGCTTGGATTCTTCCATTGTGGAATATCGTGCCATCGTATCATCGTGTCACAGAGCTGTGGATGCATAAATTGGTCCCTGGACGGCTCGAACTTCTTCGACACCTCCAGGGGTCTTGTAGCAGCCTTGTCGGTTCCTACATGCGGACTCGAAATCAGGGAAGTATCGTGGCAGGCAATGGCAGCCGGGTCAGGTCGTCCTACCTTATTACATGGTAGGTACCTACCTACCTGCCTACTCAGGTAGGTACCTAAGGTAACGTAGGTAGGCAAGGTAGGTGCCTCCGGCGGTAGAGGTGGGAAGGTAGGGATGCAGGGTCCGAGCTTTCTCTTCCTCAGAGATGTGGTAGCAGCCACAGACGATCGTGGCCGTGCGGGCGTCTATCAGGTACTCACTGCCAACGTGCCTAGACACTGGGTACCTTTGGTAGGTACCTAGGTAGTTATGAGGGGCAGTGTAGCCCACTCACCCTACCTAGGTAGGTCAAGCTACTGCATATTGTGACAATAACGACACTGCACTGCACTGCTTCACATCCCAGTGCTCGGCCTAGCTATCCTTGCTTGCTCCAAGCGTAACTTTTCGAGTTGGACTCAGACCTGTCTCCAGGGGCACTCGAAGCATTGCCGAATTGCTGGCCGAGTCCTGTAAGGTGGTCGTGTGCCCTCCCACAGGCCGCGTTACCCCGCCTCGCTGGGTGCTTACTCCCGGCCGTGGGACACCTATCATCAACTTGAGCATGGGAAGGCGCCTGGCTGTTGTTCATTCATTCAGTGATCAGCACACAACGCGAGCACACATATATGCCAATACCTAGCAAGCCCACGACGATCTCTCTGGGCCATCATGGCGGCATTCATCTCGCATCCCCTGGAAGAGGACGAGTTGTCGTATGTGAGCCCCATTGGTGAGTTCAATATATCCCAGCGCCCCTTTTCACTGTTCCCATCTATGCCAACGAGCACTGCCAACGAGATCGACCAGGCTATACCAATTCATCCAGTTGTGGCTACTGTGGAAGTGGAAATAAAGGAGGGATGGGGAAGACAAAACGTAGGTTCCCACTGGTACGCTCATCGGGCCTCTCGTTTCATCCGCATGTCACGAAGCCTCCAAGCCTCACACTGAGGTGTGATCAGCAAAATTGACACGCCCGTTGCCCAGGCTATTCCTACTACGCATCTGCGACATCCTTGACCCCGAGCTCTATCAGGACTTG